GATCCCAAAAAGTTTGTAGACAAAGAATTCTATGGATGGCATATGGATATCTTCATCACCGTTATTGCTATGAAAGTTACTAGCATATGGTATTATTTTTGGAAGAAAAATGTAATACAACTCGGATTTGAATATCGAGCAAGTAATAAAGCTTAGCTCTCATGTGATCAATTTTCTTCCAATCTCAACCTTTTTCCTCCTTAAGATCCCTCTTCTGTAGTCCACAAAGCACATAATTGCAGTCATTCTTGGACACCAAATCATGATCAGTATCCAAACTATACTCAAACATGATCCATTGACTTACTTGTTGCGCCACTTCACTCTTATATCGAAACCTTTTCCTGAACCCCAGAGGCTGTGCTGATAATTGGGAATATGTTATTGCCTCGGGCGGCCCAGTTATCTTCCAAGTACCGGTACCAATCAAGCGGTTCATCTTTGAACTGTTTTGAGTTTTCTTCTTTGACCGAGTGAAGAAGTAGAGATCTTCACCAGACCGAAGATTATCCCCACGGTACAACTCCCATATTTCCCAAGGTTCTTTCTCTCCGTACAAGTCAAAATCCTTGATTACTTCTTGATCAACATGCAGCCTGGACTTGTTAGTGATTTTGCTGAAGAGATAGCCCAGTAGCATGGCGTCACTAGGCTGAAACCTGAGTCCCACCAACAAGGCAGCCACAGGAATATTGTCTCCCATCAAAGATCGATATATGGTTTTGGAAGGGAAAGCAAAAGATTTTCTTGATTAATCAGAAAGAAGAGTAGCAGACTACTAGATGACAACTTCTTGCAAGAGGAAAAATATTCGGGTTTTATGAGAGGTAAAACCAAGGAGAAGAAGACGAGGCACTTGCTGATCTTGTTTACAGAATCATACATCTCAATCTTTCCAAACCAAGAAAAGAAAGATAAGAAACCTTGCGTATGAGAGGTGCCAGGCGTATTGGTTGCAGAGATTAGAGGAAGTGATCTGTGAAGATGGGGAGAGGATAGAGAGAACACCAGCAATCGTCTGGTTACCTTTCACAAGCGCAGGAACGGGCTGCTCAAGAAAGCTTACGAACTGTCAGTGCTTTGCCATGCAGAAGTAGCCCTCTTTGTCATCTCCTCAACCAACAAGTAGTGAATCTTCGTTGGATTAATTTCTCTTCTCTTTCCCTCTTGATGCTAATGTTGATCTTGTTCATTTGATTTCCCACTTCATCCTTTAATTTATGGAACTCTAAACTCAAACCCACTATCTATATAGTCGAATACGACCATTTAAATGAGATTTATTATTATTATTATTATTATATTAAAAGTATTTTTCTATTAATATTTTAATATTTTCAATATCATTTTAAAATTAAAATTAAATGATCTAATTATTTATTATTATTTAATGCTATTTAATACGAATTTTAAATATTATTATGTCGTTGGAATTTAATATCATTCGAATAATATAACAATAATTAAATTAAATAACTTAATGTTGAAAATTATAACCATATAAAAAATTAAATACTTTTAAATAAACTTATTTAATTTTTGGTTTTTTATCTATACTAATTGTTTATTTTATATTTTCATAAGAATTAATAAAAATAAAGAAAAATATAAAATAACTTTTATATATGAGATAGAATTATGGAAATTGAATTTAATTATAATAGCAGAGAATTTATTTATTTATTTACTGCTTTTTAATCATAATTAAGAAGAATAACATGCAAAGTTATAAAAAAAAACGCAAGAGTAAGAAAAGAGATTGAACATAATTTAAAGTTATTAAATATTATTAAACTAACAGTTTTGTTATATTTTTTATTTTTTAGTTAAATTAATATTTTTTTGAAAATAATAATCGATAAATTCAAGTCATTTTGGATTAGGTTTTTTAGATGATTTTGAGTGTAAATCAATTCAAGTTTAGAGGTATCTAAAAACTTTTAAAGTATTGAAATATTAATATAAAATAGTATTTTATAATTTTTACAATAAAGTATTGTGTAAATAGATTGGTCAAGTTGGGTCCGAGCTTGATTTGAAAAAAAAAATCCAATAACTCGGCCTGGCTCATGAATGTCTCAAATTAAGTTGAGGTTATTTTTAGATATATATCATTTAGAGCTTAATTATTGATTTTCTTTCAAATCTGGTTTAATAATTAATATAGTTTAGGGTATTTTGTAGTTATTTTCATCTTTATCTTTATAGCCTTAGAAAACAGAACTACCATTCAAACTCATAAAATAAAAACCCAATCCAATTTTCAGATTTCAATGCAAAGTTTATTGATAGTAGTCACAAACCACAGTAAAGAACACTTTAATTTTACAACTTTCGAGGATTATAGTTGTAAAGTAAAGATTAGAACATTTTATTTTAAAGTTTTTACATCATTTAAAAAGATAAATATTTAATTTGAAACGGGAAATATCATGTAAAGCTGTAAATGATAAATTTGATAATTTTAGACACTATACGAAAAGATACAGAGTTAAGCAAGTTTGGATTTAACCTTAATGTGTTTCTTGTCTAATCGTGAATTTTCGTATCTTAAATGTGTCAGACATGAATAATAGGTTTAATTAATTTTGTTATTGTGTTAAAATGTATATACTTAACACGTTTATCCACTTATTAAATATTAATAGTCAAATATTATTTTAGCCTTACTTAAATAATTTTAAATAATTATTTAATTATTCGTGGTTGATGATGCAGTTAATGATATATATTTAATTATGGATCATTTTAAATATTATTAGTATTTTAAGGTTAGATGTTAATGACAGATTTTATTAGTATGAATATGATAAATTGAT